TAGAAGTGGACAGGAAATTACCATTTGCAGATAAGTATAAAGGTTGAAAAAAAGCACAATTAACTAACTGCTTTCCTAGTGCATCAAGAAGCAACTGAATTTCTTGCTGCCTGAAAGAGCCTTAAACTGGCATATTGAAAATCGGCATATTGATATGCATCATTTTAAGGTAACAGGTCCTAAAACTGAATACGCTTTCTGTTGGCGTCCCATAAAAGAGTTCTACAGAATCTGTCTGAGCGTTCGGCACCAGCAGCACCAGTCTTGTGCAGTTCTCCTGAAAGCTTTAAATCTCTAAAAATGTCCACTTAAACAGTCAAGGTCATAAATACTTCTCAAGAGCCATAAAATAGAACAGAATTTTGGAAGTTATAATTTTAGTGGATATAACTGCACTATAAAAGGAAAACCTCTGGGACCCAGAATAAATGCAGAACTCTGTGCAAGGGAACTGCTGTGCTAACCCATCTGCAAGTGATAAATTATCCCCAGCCCCAGGTGTGGCGCATTATCCTAGGGGTGTCCAGTGATTAAAGGTAAGAACGTGGCTAAAGTCCAAGGGAGCCCTGAACATTAATGACGGCTGGAAATTGTCAACAATTTCTCTGCAAGTTTGATGTGCTCCTATTTGCTCCCATTAGCCAGGCCCAGAGTTCAGCAGGTTGTCTGTGATCAATTCCTGGCTGGTACGGAGACTCCAGTGAGAGGGTGCACAGGGTGAAAAGCAGACTTTGGCTTTTCATCTACCCCGGAAGGAGTTTATACAGGCTGAAAATAAAGTGATAATCCTATTAGTTCTAATCCCTCTGGGCTTCCACAAAGGAGAGACGTTCACTGAGGCCCTTACCATAAAATTCAAGCGATGATTACAAAGCATGATGAAAATACGGTTGTGCTTTTTTCTGATCCATCATTTATTCCATTTGGTTCACATTTGCATAAACGTCCTTTTACTTTTAAATCTGTGTGGATCTTAGAGTCCCACAGGGTTAAGCATATGTTTAATTGATTTCCTAAACTTTCCTCCTATCCACATACTTACTTATAAAGAATTATGTGCATTTTTAATGCTAGTGACTAGTATTTCATGGTTACCTCCATAATTATTTGTAATTGGGGTGGTCACAAATGTTCATATACTTTATTTTTCCCACCAAGTTGTTAATATTTTTCCCTAAGCCCCAACCTAAGTTCAGTTGGTATCATCTAGAAAACTAGTGATTACAATTTTGAACGAGAGTAGCAGGAATAAGCAAGTTACAGCTGAAGAGCAGATGAAGGGAGTTTTCACAAAAGGAGGCCCAAGCTTCCAAATTTTAATCAACATTTGATTGTGGACTATTAAAATACCAAATCACTGTGGAGTGCTACGCTGTGTCTTCATAGCTTAAAATAGGCACTGTGACATAGTCATTCCACCCCAGTTTTCCCATCTGAAAGTCATAACACATTGTACCTTTTGCCGTTGCTTCTAAGTTTTTGGTGTTTACTATTGTGTAACCAAAATGTCAGCCTCCTGTATCTAAGGGTCCCCTTCTCATTTATTTGGAAACTAAAAGATGAAGAGGGTTTGTCTCGTGTCAGCCCCCGAGCACTGACTTGACAGCTGCTGCCCTCCCCTCAGCTCTGCTTTCTGCTGGCCTTGAGCTCCTGTGCTCTTCACTGCTGTTCACCGCCTGTTACTCGGGTCTTCCTGGCTGAGGCAGAACCGACTGCCAAAGGACAACACTCCCGGTCACCACCCTGTCACTTTCCTCCCATTCATACCTCACCACAAAGTTTAAGTGTGTCATGGATTCTGCTGTGGGTTTGGACACAGCTGCAAGTGAATCTCTCCACTTCTCTAGAAAGAAATAAAAAAGCTCCCGACCCTCAACCGGCCCTCCTGGGACGCAATCATCCTACAGGGTGTGTCCCAAAGACTAAGGTAGAGCATCCAGAGCAAGCCAGGGCCAAGGGTTTGGGAGCTGGGCTCCAGAGGGCCCACAGGGAACAACTGGGAATGGTCACGCAGCCTGAAGACGGCTTTCCCTTCAGGCCTCTCAGGCGGTGCCAAGAGAGGCCAGCCGGGCTCCTGGGTGGACGTGTGCTGTTTTTCATACCCAGCATCATTTGTCTTGTTTGTAATCTTGTCTTGCGTTTCCTTGGGGACCAACCCCACCCACGTTCATTGCATGTGGTTTAGGTGGGGCTGACCCAAGGCCTGGAATCAGAGGTGAGTGAGCTCATGGTGCAGATCTGCGCAACTGGCCTTGTGGTCTGGCCGCTGTCGTGGGTTCATCGCTTTCCTCTCATCAGAGAGCATGCCGAGAGTTTTCAGAAGCAAGCAGAAAAGAGAAAATGAGCAGGAGTGTGTGTGTGAGTGTGTGTGAGTGTGTGTGTGTGTGTTTGCAAAGAAAACTAGCAGGGGAAATCAAGGAGGTCTTAGCTACCATTAAGCACCATAGCAGCACGACAATAAGGGAAATTCAGAGGAAAGTGGAACTTAGATGTAGAGAGAGGCTAGATCTGACCCTCGTGTTGGAAATGCCTGGTCCAAGCCATGATTAAAGCTGCTACTGCTGGAATTTTCACTATGGGAGCAAAGTGGAGTTTTTTAAAAGCTTACTTCAGCTGATTTCCCGTCTCTCTGAATCCAAAGATGCCTGATTAATACTTTCTTTTTCACATCAGATCTTCCAGGCTTGACAAAATAGATTCAATCAATCTCTCTCTCTCTCTCTCTCTCTCTCTCTCTCTCTCTCTCTCTCTCCCTCTCTCTCTCCTCTCCCTCCCCTTCCTCTTACAGACACACACACCTGCCTCCCGAGAATAAGCAATCATTTCAAATATATTACAGTCTAAATTAATACTGAGAGAGAAGCTTTTTGCCAATATTCACAGATAACTGTGTGAACAATGACCATGGCTTTTTATATTATTATGTAGGATTATTCAGTTTCCATCTCTTGTTTCTAGAAACCAATCCCAGATCTTTATGATACAAAAGAAATGAGCTCCATAATAAAAAAACACAACTATATATTTTTTCATTATATATAAAATGTGAACTGGAATAGAAATTAAAATTTTTGAAAACCAGTATCATATTATTGGGAAGATTTCCACCTCCCTACCTTACTTTATCTCTATAAGCAGTAAATGACAGGATAAAATTTATTTCTGTGTTCAAGTTCCTTAGGAAAAGGAGCAATGGAGAGGTAAGGCAGAAGGCTAATTCTTCCAGTAACATTTTGAATTCAGGCAACTTTAACCCATGTTTATAAAGAACACAAAATCTATTTGCATCTTCCAAATTCTTTATGACCCTTCCCAATACACGTATATTCTTCTGTATTTATGAGAGGAGAATGGTTTATATTAGAGAGAAACAAACCAATGGAGGGAGGAAAAGTTGAGAAATCACAATAGTGCTCTAGCACAGATGGCTTTTGTTGGAAACTATCACTGGGTTGAAGACATGACTTAATTAATTATGCTCAACTTGAAGGGGAAAAGATTCCCAAATTTTCTTAGTTTATATGCGAATATTTGTCCAAAGGCTTAATGTTTTAATAAATCAGCGTTTGGTTAACCATGGCCTATTAACTTGTTCCTAGTGTGGTGGTGGTGGTGATAGCAGTGGTGTGCGTGTGTGCATGCATTTGTGTGTGCGTGTGTGTTTGTGTGTGTGTCAGTAATGAAGCCAGAAGAAAGACGAATGAAGAGGAGATAGAATCAGCAGTTATTTCTACTTCAGAAGACTCTAGCCTCAGTTTCACAATTATATGATACTGAAACCATGAAGTTAATTTCAAGGACAGTGATGGCCAAGTATAATTCCTGTGTCTGTGGTCCTCACATCAGTCTGGAAAGCTGTTATCCTCTGTTGGCTCTCAGTCCTGTACATAATCTGATTCAGCGTAGTTATCCAGTTTGCTTGTTAAGGTGGTACAGTCTCAGGGACAAGGGATTTTCTGCTTTTTCTTACTCTACTTCAACAATTCCTTTAGTCACTCTACAGCAGAGATGAGACTTAGTTTGATCAGGACAGAATTCAAGAGTTACCTACTCATTTGCAGCATTATCTGAACTGCCTGGACCTTGCTCTTTAGGAGACTATTGACTCTAGCCTGTGATGTGTTTCTCTGGCATGATAGCCCTTTACCTTCTTCGGCCCCTTCCCACTGAGCCAGTCTGTCCCCCTCCCATGAGAGGCCACCGATTCATTCACCCCTGAGGACTGCTTGCTCTTTCCCTGGGTCGCCCACTCACATCAGTGTGTTCATTTCCTGTTACTGACACTCCGAGGTGTCTGAGTAATACATTCTAGAATGGTTTTTATTTTCACCAACATTGGCTCACCTTTACCTCCCAGAGTAAAATTTGAAGTCATTAGCAATGTACTTGAGAAACTCTGGAGTCTTAAGTCCTCTCTTTTATTAGATTAAAACCATCTACATATCCCATCCGTGCACACTTCCATGTTCCTGGTTGTTAATGTTGAGGAAATTATTCACATAATATTATATAGAAATATATGATCATTTATCCTTTTAATCAATGATTATCACCTAAGCAAATGTTTATTAGATTCTGTTAATGGTTTGTTTCATGTTAGACAAGTTTGTATTTTAGCATAAACCCAATGTGGTTCCAGCAAATAATTACTTCAATGTGATGTGTTCTGCTTTAACATTTCATATGCAGAATTTTCATACCAAAATACTCATATATGGCCTTTTTGAGTTTCAGTACTGAAATTCAATATGTTTCATAGAGTGAAAGGAATATATTAGTATAGTTTACTTTTCTACATTTCTCAAACTCATGTAATGTAGGGAACATTTATTCTGTAAATGTTTGGGAAAAAAAGTCCTTAGGAAATGAGGTTCAAATAATTTCAGAGATAATTATTTCCATTCTTTCTTAGTGTATCACTCTGGTAATTTTATATTCTTATTAGAAGATATTCTGTCTTTATAATCATCCTATTTATGAATCTATTTTTGAATGAAAGACTAGCATATCTTTTGCCTCAATGCTTGCTTAGCAGATCTCACCGAGAAGGAGTACATCACTGTGATTCAGCACACAGGCTTCGAGCTGCAGACGTCCCACCACTTATGAGAATCAGCTGAGCGAGGAGTTAAACCTCTCTGGACCTCAGGTGCCTTTCCCTTAAAATACAGAAGATGATGATAATAGTACTGCACATATCATGAAGTCACTGTGAAGTTTAAAGTAATTACTGTCCAGAGAACACATCCAAATGCCTACTGTGTGGAAAATGCATCTCTTTCTTTACCTACCCATTGTTTGATAAACATCTCCAACTTAAAGGGTTTCAAAGCAAAATTGTGATGTATGACCATTCCCCTAAAACTGCCCCTTCTGTAATCTCTTTCTCAGCAAGATGCACCATATTGTCAGGATGTCCCTACAGCGCAAAAAGTCACTAGCTATTCATGATTCCTCTCTTTCCTTCATTTCTAACTCATCAGAACCTCTAATCAGCCCTAAATGTAAAAATATCTTCTAGATGAGACTTTTTGCTGCTTCCATCACTGCTGTCCCAGTCTGCAGCACTAACATTGTCACGGCTGTCTGGCTTCTCCTGTGACCTCTGGCCCCTTCCCTACTTCCCTTTTTCCCTTTCTCCACCCAGCAGCCAATGGCTCCCCCTTAAAACAAAAACTGGATCAAAATATCTCCCTACTAAAAATTGTTTGGCGTTTCTTACATCACCAAGAATAAACTTCAAACAGCACTAAAGATTGGACTCAAAGCCTCGCCGTTCTAGGCAAACACCCTACCCCTGAGCTACATCTCCACTCCTAATCCAAACTCTTCATCTTGACCTAAATGGCCCCACAGAGGCTCCGCATCGCCCCAACTTCAACCCCCCTCACCTGCCCCTTGTGCTCAGTGCATGAAGTCCTCCTGGCACTGAGAGTTTTCAGATACACCAAACTGATTCTGATCTTGGTCCTGAGCGTTTGCCCTGCGTTCTGCCTCTAAGGATTTTCCCCAAGATCTCAGCGCTGGTTTTCTCTCTTCACTTTGATTATGTGTAGATGTGATCTCATAGACCTCTCTAACCACAGAGCCCCTCCATCATGATAATTCTGTTCCCTTTTCTCTTTGCATCATTTGTTTAGATCTAAAAGTCCTATTATTTGTTTATTATTCCCACAATAATGCCTTTTCTTTCCCTTGGAACTCGGGTCAGGGACGAAATCCTTCTGAAAATGAAACATTCAGTGCCTGTAACAGTGCATAGACGCTCTTAGTATCACCCTGATAGTAGTTACTTAACAAATACCTGCCAGTATCGAGGTTTTCCTTTACAGCCACTTAATCCTCCTCTGCTGTGCTGGATCAGGCCTCTGTTTTCCCTGAAAGGCTTTGTCTTTCCCCGGCTTGAGACTTTCGCCCCATTTAAACACCTCCCAAACACAGCTGATCCAGGCTCGTTCAGCTCCTGCAGATACGGGTACAAAGCAAACACAGACCGCTGAGCTGTCAGTGTCCAGCGTGACGATACCTCCTAAGTAAAGAAAGACGGGCTTTGAGACGACACCTTCTCTTATCGATATCCTCAGCCAATAGGAAGGAACAGGGAAGAAGCACAGAGACGCACCTGGAAGCAATGGGACAGGAGGTATAAACCAAAGTGGGTTCTGGAGAATCTACCTGCGCACTCTAAAAAGATCTGTGACCGAGAAGTGGAAAATCTCCACAGGCAGACTTCTCTTTCACAGTACAGCCGGGCACAACAGTGTAGCGATCACAGTAGATTCACACTGACGGTGGCAGAAGAAGGAAGGGCAGCCCTGAAGGGCAGCATCGGAAGGACCACGCAAACAAAAGCCACCCCTTCAAGAAATGAAATCTCTCCCGAAGCTGATGACGAAACAATCAGCATCCAGTTCACTGCTTGCATCGGGTTGCTTTTGCATCCACACAGCTGGACATTCAAAGCCTCTCTCTTTTTCCTTCCTTAGTTTCCTGTCCCCACTCCCTTCCAGAGTCCTGCCTTGATTCTACCACCAACTCTGCGAAGAGATCAGAGCTACATTCCAAGAAGTGCATTTCCTTTGTATCACATTTCCTTCAGATTGGAACATCAAGGCCAATTCCAACCACTACCCCTCCTCCATCCAAAGCTTCTTTATTGTCAACTATGGTCTTCCTTCTGTCATAGCACAGCTTTGATGCCGTTATAGTGGGCCTGAAATACCAAGTGTCCGCAAGTTAGGTGCATAGACATGAACTCTTCCATCTCGATTTAATCTTCTTAGAAAGTTATTCCATCAGATGATATCAAGTGTAATCAACATTACTCCAGAAAAACAGGACGATTTTGTGTTTAAATTCATGAATTTGTGTAAGGTCTAAATTTAAAAGTAAAAAGCTCTTCTAGAACTCTTTGTAGAAACGGCCAATAACTAACTACATGAAACCATGTTCACCATCGCTAACCAGTTGAGAATTAAAACAACACTGAGATTCCATCTCACTATAGAAAGATAGGCTATCATCAAAACAGCAACTAGTAACAAATGCTGGGGGTGGGGAAGGAACCTTTCTTCATTGTTGGTGGCAGTCTTAACTGCTACAACCACTACTGAAATCAGTATGGAGATTGTTAAATAACTAAAGGGGCCAGGGATTTAGCTCAGTGGTTTCGTCGCCTGCTGCGTAAGCCTAAGGACCCGAGTTCGGTCCCTGGTACAAAAAAAAAAACCCTAAAAATAGGAATTGCATTTGAGCCAGCCCTTTCCCTTTTAGGTATCTTCCCATAAAAGTTAGACAGCATCTCAGAGTGACATATGAATACCCACGTCTATAGCAGCACAATGCATAACAGCTAAATCTTGGAAGCACCCCTTTATGTCCATCAACAGATGAATGGATAAAGAAAATGTGGTTTTTATATACAATAGAGTACTACTCTGCCATAAAGAAGGATAAACATCAGTCATTTGTAGGAAAACGGATCCACCTTGAGACCATGATATGAAGTGAAGTAATTGTATTACATGATTTCTCTTGTTTGAGAAACCCAATGTATAAATAAAGTGTGAAAATAAATAAATGAAAATAAAAGACAGACAGTAGGCAAAAAAGAGAAAGAAAAGAAGTTATTATAATCCAGCATGGACAAGGTACCTAAAAGTGCACCTTGATTTAGTATAATTGTCTTATTTTTTTATCTGTTTTTTGGCCTGTTAGTCTGGCTATTAATCTACATTTATGATAACCAACTTGATAAGGACTTAAAAAATAAATAAATGAATCTGATGCTGGCAAAAATAAATTTTTAAAGGGTGGTAGAAGAGAAGGGGAAAAAAAAGAATCGAGATGTGTTATGTGCATGTACTAAGTCCCCATAATGAATGCAATCATCATGTACTAATAAAACTTTTTAAAAATTTAAATCCTTGCTTTACATAATACTAGTCTCCAACAGTTGACATTACATAGATATGTATGTATGAAATATCATTGGAGAATATCAACAGACCTAGATTTTATGGTGGAAAGAATACCTATAACTTCAAAACTATGGTTCAGTATAACAATATTGGTCAGGTATAACTTCTATAACACATCTTGTTTTTCTTACTACAAAACTGGGAGTTGAACCCATGGTCTCATACATGCTAGGCAAGTGGTCTACTGCTAAAGTACATCCCCAGCCCCTTTAGTACATATACATATATAGTGACAGAGTCTTCTTAAATTTCCCAGGCTGGCCTCCAATTTACAATCCTCCTGCCTCAGCCTCCTCAGTAGCTGAGATTACAGGAGTGCCCCACCACGCCAGGCTAAACACATGCTATTTTAAAGCTCTCTTCTCCTCTCCAGTAATGTCTCTGGACTCAATGCCTATCTCCTCCATGAGACTTGCCAATGGCTTGAATTTTGACTATTTATTTTGCCCCTTCAATGTCCAAGAAATTTTTTGTCAAAAAATTTGTAACTACAGAAATATGTACTGAATAAATGAATGAATATCTATGTTTTAAAATTGATTTTCCCTCCTTTCTCTGGTAGAAATAATTGGGTAATTCTGAATGGTTTTCTGAATTTCTTATTCTTTTATCTAATACTTAGAGGGATTGTGCTGTATTTGTGTATAGAAATATCACAACTAATTAATAAAATAAGATACAACAATTTAAATAGGACACAATAGAAGCATCAATGTTGTAGAAAAGGGAACAAATTATTGAGACTTTATATTGTATTTGCCTCTTTTCTCCAAACACAATTACAAGAATCCATGAATTTACTATTGCTTTCCTCTCTCAAGGAAACACAAATTAGTTAAGGATAATAAAACCAACACTCAGCTTCATGTTTGTGGGTTGAATTTTGCTACATGGACTCAGAATATATTTTCTGTGGCAGAATATTTTTATAGTAAAGCAGCCAAAATACCACGAATGCATAGCGCAGGCTGCAAGCATTTTAGGCCTTCCAGGCATTTCTGCGGCTTGGCGTTGATAAATGCAGGTAACATATAGGTTGCAGTTAGGGTCAAATTACAGCAAACATGGCCTCTTCCACAACTCTGGGAGTTGCTAAAACAACGTCCCCATTACCTTGGGAGGGGACGCCTGTCAATCAACACACTGGGGCTTCAGAGCAAATTCTCACAATTGTATTTTTCCAGTGACCACAATATCTGAGCCCAGCCAAAACCGAAACAAAAATAAAAGGCCCTTTCCTCACATTTCCACAACAAGTTTGTGTGGTGAACACACAGTCCGCATTAATACCTCCTTCTCCTTTCCTGAGCCTCCTCTATTCTGAGTGGTATCATTTTCGGCCTGCTACTGAATTTAGGTGTAGGATGACTCCCTACAGTCAGGAATAATCAACTAGGAATAGGACTGCTATGTGTATTATTCTGAATAGTCATTCTTATGACTCTCTCCGCCCACCTATCAAGTACAGGTATCACTTGTGTGATTGCCTAATACATAGGTCATCATTCACAAACACACAACATGTTCATGGGCTTTTTTTTCTTTGTTTTTTCTTTTTTTTCATTGATTTCTTACCACTCTGGTTACATCAGGTGTTATGACATAGTAGGAAAACACTGTGAGACACATGTATTATATGCAGAAACTTCTAGTTATACCTTTAACATAAGGTATGCCTTTTTAAGAGTTAAAAAAAAGCCCCTTGTTTTTCTTAATACTCCATAATTAATAATTAATTTGTTTTCCTGGTGTTTTACATACAAAATATACTTCATGGTTCTCCTATACTATTGACTGCACTCACACTAAATTTTCAATTATTCTTTATGACTGAGATGAAATTTATGACTTCAAATGAGATGACTCTTCAGAAGTCGATAGACCTTTACATTCAGCACTTCTCACATGGGCAAACTCAATCTGTCAGGAATATTTCTTGAGAATAAGCACTCATGTGGTTCTTTACATAGCAGCTATGACTGTCACTGCGTGTCAGTGACGCAATTATACCAGGGCCCACACCTTTGGATCCTTATAGTGCTGAGCTGTGCTAGAATTCACTTTCCTAAGAGAAACATATTCAAACGTTGCAGAAAACAGTACTCAATTTTTAAATTATTCTCACAGAAGGAACTCCTCGTTTATCATCAATCATTTTCCTTTGTTCACGTCTCTGTGATGTCCCCTCTTATCATTTTCAGCAAAACCCCTGTGGGTATTTTGACCTTAAGAGAAATGCAACCATTCTTATAGCTACAAAAAGATATTTATTACAGTCAGATCAATGGGAAACTGACTCAGCTAAACCATTTTCTAATTAATTTCCTTCCCAATTAATCTCTGATGAATACTTTCCACTTAAAGAGTCCAACCAATTGATGTTTTGTTCTTCTGTTTTTACTTTGACAAGGACAAACTGGATTTTGCCTTGCCTAGGAATATGCTTGCAATCATCACAATAACTTATAGTCACATTGGTGAAAACCTCAGCTCTCCAGAACATTTAGCAGTAGAGTAGGGCTCCTTTGGAAGCAGTAGAAAGGCAGTTACCACATAGTCTAAATTCAGCCTTTGTATCGAATATTTCCATTAACAATGGAGCAGATGATGGTAAGTCACTGGTAATCAAATTGAAAATGTGAATCTAATGGGCCAGGATAGATTTTAGGCAAAGAAACAGCTTCCTCAATGGCACATCACTCACGTGGCCCTGTGAAGTCTGATGGGACCCTGATGATTCATTACCTTCAGATTCAAGAACCAGGCACTTGGGTTCTGAAGTTGGGAAAGCGTCTGGGTCGTTCAGACACAGCTTTGACAATGCCAAAACAAGCTTGGAAAAGGAAGCAGTTCGTCTCACCAAAGACCTGGCAGCAAAGCAACCCAACAAATATGCTAATTGATGTTTGCTTTAATATTGAATATAGTAATATAGTCAAATCCTTTTTATGCAAAACAAACCCATTAAAGGGGACATTCTGGAGGGGAACAGTTGAGCAAGGAGGGTCAAAGTGCCAACTGAGCATACTTACTAAAAACTAATAAAAAGAGTAAAAAGAGGTGAATTCTTGTTTTTTTTGTTTCATTTTGTTTTTTTGAGATGGAGTTGTACTGTGTAGCCCAGGATGAAGATCAGTAGTGATCTTCGTGACTCAGCCTCCCCAGGCTGGAATTACAGGCGCAGAGGCTAAAACTTTTTGTGATAAGTTTCAAAATGAGAAGGAAGGAGAAGAGTATGAAAATCATGCATCCTTTCAGATAATATATGTGGTCATGAGTTAACATTCATGCAGTAAGACAAACTTTTCTCACCAAATGTCAGTGCTCAAATTCTGCAAAATAGGAATGTTAGCTGAATACTTGAGGAATGCCTTTGAAATATGAAGATATTTAACATTTTAATACAACAATAAGGATCCCTGTAGGTGTAAAATTGTATACTCTGAGATTCAAACTGAATTTTAGGAATGTGTCT